TTGACGTACGTGGGGGATCTCGTTTCCCTCACTCAGTCTTTGCAGGACTGCTTGAGTTTTCCTTATGTCACACATATCTAGAAAGGAGAAAACATATTTCAAAACTCTCATTCAACTTTTTGAATGAAGTCTCATTTTCCTCACCGAAAATATTGCTTAGTTCGTCCTTCAGTTCAGGCCCAAGTTTGTCTGGAAGGGAAACATGGATAACGTCATGATTGCACTAAACAATGTATAGTGTAGGGGGGGGGGGAGGCAGACGCCGTGTTTATCACCTTCACATTGAACGAGCACTTCCATGCGGTGGGACTTGATTGCGTCTGGAAAGATGAAAGAGTTTTTTATATGACTTAAGTAAAAACATGGTGAAACGATGGAACGTTGTCTTTCTCACCGAGGCTTCGTATAAGTACTTCGCTATTTCTCGGACCGAGTTTATCTAGAAGCGGAAAATAACTGATTATAAATTGATGCTGCATACTGTCCTAATTGATCCTGTTTTTATACTTTTAGTCTCTATAATTCTTCAATAATATTACTTATGGAACTGAACGCCCTTTCCCAACCACTCTCTAGCAAAAGGATTCGAACAAGTCAGTTTTCTTCCCCACACTTTTTATTTTACATTTTCAAAAAACTGGACCGTATGTGTAGTGTTGAAAGAAGTTCTGTATTTTCAACAACTTTGACATGAAGTGTAACTGTAAAACAAAGCAGATCCATGAATAAGAAACGAAGATGTCTGAGGTCGGGGATGGTAGGGACAAATTGAACGTATTGTTGTGGAGCGATGTCTCCGCAGTTCATGCAGGGCTGCCTGCAATCCTTCTTTAGTTCTCGGTCGTCGCTTGCTGATGGCAGGCTTTAAATTCCCCTGATATTCTCGATCCGTGACACATCTGGGCTAATGTTTGACCATAACAGCACATCCATCTGCTGGGTTTCGAAACATTACCAAGTTGTCTTACTGGTATGACGAGGCGCCATCCTGCTGGATTATGAAGTCGCCATGAAGCTGTATGTACCTATGGAATCAAGTGTATCTCCGCGATTTTCAAGTATTTCTGGCTCTCTACTGTCTCATCGATATCGATGTATTACAGCTGGCAGTCTCCTTTGCTTCTCATGCAGCCTTATACCATAAGGTTTTCAGGGAATGTAACCATCGGGTTGATGTAATCGGGATGAATATCCTCCTCTTGTGTACGGGTCACTCGCTGGCCGCGCTCGTTAATGCAGAAATTGAAATCGGACTCCTCGCACCATGCCACTTGATTCCGGTGTAATGGATGGTGGTCTGTAGAAGGAGTTGGATGGCATGAGAGGATGTAGGAATACCAGGAAACGGCCGGGAATCGAACCAGGGCCTCCTGATTGCCGGTCAGGGCCAGCTACCACTACACCACCAGATTCCTCTCAAAGCCACCTCTAGAAATACACCAGACTGCCAATGACCCTTTTTGAAATCTTTGGCCCATTCGAATAGATTCTTTCTGTGGAAAAATCAACATTGATTTTTCTTTTGCCTCGTGTGACTAGTAGATAATGTCCTTAAGGCGGCAGTGAAAGGTGTTCCCAATGGTTGAATTTTACTCCAAGGTCAATTTTGGAGCATTCGCATGTATCAAGCTTACTTGACAAGCTTACGGATGATTTTACCACCCACATAAAAAAAAGACGCCTCCAGAACTTACGCTTCAGGTGGATTCACCCACTGGGACCAATATCGCAGCTAATACCTCTCGCCGTCTCCTTAAAGAGATGAATTACTTGCTTCACAAAGCAAAATGAATACCACTGTTGACGTTACACCAGAAAAGGCGAGTCGAGCGCTTCAAACTGTTTTGTTTTTTTCATTTTAGATTCACAGTCAGTTTCAATGTCAACGTTGTGGACGATATTGGGTTTATTTCATTACTGACGTCCAGGTGCAACAGGCAGAAGTAGGCGGTGAAAACTGGCTTGCCTGAACCAATTTGGAAGTGGGCAGTGTAGCAATGCTTCTGATCCTTTATTTAACCCCAACTTGTCGGCAGGGTTGCAATGTTAATAACAATGGACTATTTGATTATACTCACAAATTATGGCCGGTTCCGTCCCTTTCCTATTCTACCTCAAATTTGGACGTCGCTCTTTGATACATAGTCGATCAGCCCTATATTGGTTGTTCCTTATGTAAATTATGCTCATGCTCATGCGAAACAGTGTTTGGGAAGATCAAGACCTCCAAAGGCCTCATAATCTCCAACCCGTCGTTAATCATAGAGTTGGATCACTGATGGTTTGGGGATGCATGACGGCCACACCCTAGTAGCATATAACATTGAAACAACATCGATTCAATGTAGATTCAACATCCGGACGTTGAACCAATGTTGAATCAATGCTGATTCAATGTTACGTGCTACACTGTTAGCAAAAATGGTTCAGCTTTTATCCCCTAAAGGGTATTTCAACTGCAGCTCATATTTATCATTTGCGGGTTAAATATTTAGCCTTCTCGATAGGTTAAAGTAAATATCCTTTTAAAAAGTTTAAATAATCATCTCGACCTGGACAAATATGGAATCTTCCTGATGTACTTTAGTCATGAAAGTGAGAGACTCTCCTCTAGCACGGTGAGTGCCTCAGACGCCACTCCCCAATTATTCAATATATCATCCAGTCGCCGGGACGATTGAATTAAGTAACAACTTGGAGACACTTATTCACTTTGCTGGATTCAGATGTTCCAGACGGATGAATTTCGCTTGTTAACATACGTGCTTCTGCTTGTGAAGACAGTTTCGAATATGGGAATAAGAATGAGGAAGCATTCGCGTCTATTACTGCCTATTACCAAGGACCAGTAATAGAAGAGGACTGGACACTCCTCTGGAAATCGCGTATTAGCAGTCATCCACCCTGTTCTGGCAGCGAACCTGGTGGTCGATGAGGAAAGCTACATTTGTCTGCCGCTGTCTTCCATGGCGAAGCATGGCGGACTCTGGTGTGCTGTTATTATTTGTAATAATTCCGACGGAATCTCAGGAGGGAATTACTTCTTCAGATTTCCAGGACCCCAAAATTGGTCAATATCAAAGATTAAGTAATGTATGAGTCCATGTTTGAACCTCAAGGATGTGCTCCTTCACCCTGAAAGATTTCTCAGGGGACTCTAGATCCATCTGCATGTAATGAAAATAAACTCACCGCTTTCATTGATAATAGTGGAAATAACGCATAAAGGCTGGTTATATTCTGAAACGGAAAATGAAAGTTTTCTGCATAAAACACTAACACAAAATCGACCAAGCTGTGATAAGTTGGACAACTTCAAGTTTGCTTCTTACTACTAATTTTCACTCACTTTCGCACAGAAAACTGTACGCCCTACAATCAAAGCAACTCGCACTTAACGATCAAAGCTCTGTCAGCTGAAGCATGCTGCTTCTCGACTCCTTCCTTTTCCTCCTGTCTGATAATATTGAAGAATAAGTACTTTCATCGCAACAGCAATATTACTCTTTGGTTTCGCGGTGTAGTTCATCTTCCTGATGAGGCGCACACGGAAAAACTGAGAGAGCAACGGTCGGAGACCGATGGAATACATGTACTATAATGGGGCGATGTTTTGTTTTTCCTCAGCACCCACTTGGAGCGCTGTCTGCACATCACCATCCATGTTGATACGCGGAGTGCAAGCGTGCCGCTTCCGAGTGTCCAGTCCTATTTATGACTGGTCCTTGCTATTACTACTGTCTATTACTATTATAATGAGGCATCCGAAACACAGGACGAGGTCACATGACATGCCTGTTAGAGAGATTCCCGGGAAAGACAGAATGGCTATTCTATGTATTGTGGGAAACGGTAGCATCATAACTCCATCTAGTGGTCCAAAGGGGAACTTTACATTGCACAAATAACCCTTGAAAACGGTGTTTCATTCGCATTTCTCCCTTTTCTTCTTTTTAACCTCTTGAGCTGGATAATTTTTTTCTTCTCGAAATATCATTTCCCCATCTCATGTATTCAAACCTAGATAGTTCTCATGAATATTCATTTATCCACGCAATAGTTTCATGGAACATTCCTGGTTAAATATCTAACCATCTGAATCGAAAAGGATAGAAAGAATGTATAGCATATGAAATGAGCATCCGGTTAACCCTCTTAAATGGTGATTCACAGCCATCTAACCCATTTTTTACGTTTCATCCTTCACCTAGGTTAACCTCTGAACCTTTTCCGCTAACAGTATACTAGGGCAGTAGGTTGACAATCAGATCTGAATAGATGGTGGATGAAATCCTTACATCTATTGTCGCGACATCGAATGCGACCTTAAGATAACCATCAACCACTGGCAGCTCGATGTGGATCAAGTTCTCATCGAAAATATGATGAAAGTCGCATGGCCAAAAATAATTAAAATTGACGCAATTTAAAAAAGGTATTGCCTGTCAGAAGCACTCTATATTAATGCCATGAAAAAAGTTTGCGATCACTTCAAGGGGGGCCAAAATGCATACAAATTAGGATCGAGAAGCATGCGCGAGCTTGGTCGCAAGTTGCAGGCAATTTTAGATTCATTCACCAATTATAACATTTTCAAACAAAATAAAAGCATGCCCGGGAATGTTGCAGTTGCGCTAAGACTGTCAAAATGTAAATTGAGAGCAATAGTATCATGATACTACCTGGAAAAAGGATAGAAACCGTATTGATGGTTAAGCATCATTCCATATTATATTGCCAGTCATACACCGAAATCGATCGACTATCAGGTCATGAGAAATGAAAGGAAATAGTCATTCTCATCAAAGCACGGAACTGAGTTTCAGATATATCTACGGTATTTCTTAGAGTTATGCCAGCTAAAATAGCTAAAGGAGGAAGTATGGGAAAGTTGATGTCGCCACTGTAAAATGTTTTAGGATAGGAATGGTGACGGAGGAAATCGACCTTTGTCTTCTCACCTAAGCTTCGAATGAGCGCTTCACTGTGCCTCGGACCAATTAGGTCTGAAAAGGTGAAACAAATCGATGACGTAATTGCAACAAGGCCATGATGAAGAAAGGGGAGACATTGTCTTCATTACCAAAGCTGTCGATTAACTTGCGTCTCTGTTCTGATCCAAGAGTGCCTGAAAGGGAAAATTGAATTCTATAGTATGTCCTTGACACATTGCATGGTGGGGAACAGTGAGACGTGGTTATCCTTACTCAAGCTTTGTAGCATTGTACAAGTTTCACTTATTGGAAACACTTCAGTGTCTGGAATTGCAAAGTATATTTTTCAAATAAAATATGGAGTTACATCAGTGTGATGGATGGGGAGAAGTCGTTTTTCTCACTGTCGAATAATCTGCGTCTCTGTTCTACCCCAAGTATGTCTGGAAGGGGAAAAGCCATTTTGATATGTATTTTTTTTGCTTAGAGCGAGTTAATGGTTAGGGAAATATAATCTTCCTTACCCAGACCTCGAATCATCACTTCAGTTTTGTACGGTCCAAGTTTGTCTAGAAGGGGAAAAGTGAGTGTGATAATTTGGCATGAGGTGGGGTATAGTGGTGGACGTGGGAGAAGTCCCCAAAGACCAAAAAGTCACTCACCAAAGCTCGCGATTAATATGCGTTTCTCCTCTGGCCCAAACGTGTCTGGAAAGGTGGAGTACATTTACTACAGTGTGTCAAATGATGGGCACTCCCATATTAATCTTTAATAGATTCGTTGAGTGTGAGTGTATGAGATTCAAAATTTTCAGTATGTTCAGTAACTTCAGGAGAGATTTTCGCGCCTTGTCATGACATTTTTGAACATTAATGACATTGTCATAGATATAGCGACTTACAGCAACTAATACAGGGTTTTCATGTGCAATAATCATATTTCTGTCAAAAAGTGTGGATATAACGAGAAGGACATTTTGGAAAGAGTACGGAATGAGAGATGGCTCATCGAAGTCAACGATAAGCAGATTGATCAGCAAATTTAAATGAACAGGTGGTGGAATTTATTTCCAGCCCCAGCGAAAAGCTCCAGCTAGAAATATCAGGATTTCCATCAGTAAATGTGTACCACTTCCAGCAGGAACTGCAGCATTTCCAACTAGAACAAGTCGTAAATCGGTATGGCGTTTCCAGTTGGAATGAACCAACTGCATCCAGTTGTATTCCACGCTATATTCTTCTGGATTTCTGGTTTTCCTGTCGTAAAATGCCTACCTTATAATTTTCAATTGGAAATTGTTATTTGTTCTGCACGAATCCACCTACTGAAAAAGTTCATCACTAACCGGGTAAAACCAGTAATATTTCCTGCCGGAAGTTTTTGCTGGGACTGGGAAGCATAGGGTAAATAAAACTGGTTGATGCAGAACGGTGCAAGGGCTCATCGCATATGTGAGGTTTTTGAGTTACTCAAGGAACATTTCGAAGAAAAGGCTATTGCTCTGGATCAGAACAAGGCGTCTAAAGAGGGAATCGACTGGCCACCTAATACCTGAGATCCCAGCTCACGCCATTACTCTTTGCATTAAAGGAAAAGTTCACGTAAGCAACCCGTAAACCATCAAGAAGCTCAAGGAGGCTTTCAGAGTGAAATAGAAAATTTTTGAAATGGGCTCTCTAAGCCGTCGTCTGGAATTTTGTTGCTCGGTTGTGCAACGTAGTTGCAAGCGAGCGCACCGACATTGAGCACATCATCCTAAAATGTCCTACTGTTGTAGTTCGACTATTTTAGTACCACGCAACCTGTTCGTAGGCTAAAAACGACGATATATCGTTCCCCTGGTACTAAAAGGGTTAGAATGTCATTTGAATTTTGTTTCTAGCTTTTGCACATTTCGAGGAATAAATTTTCATTTTGAGAGAGGGAATCATTTGACACCATGTGTGTATATTTATTTATATGAACAGCATCATGGTGATGAATGGAAATGGAATGGAAAGTCTTTCTCACCAAGAATTTCAATGAATTCACGTCTCTGCTTCGGCACAAGTTTGTCTGCAACAGGAAAATATGTTCAAGTACACACTTGCTTCAGGTAGAATATTGTTGTGTTTGAGGAAGATGCCATCTTTCTAACCAAAATTTCTGGCTAAATTGCTTCCTTGTTTAGGCCCAAGTTTGCCTGAAAGGGGAAAAGAGATTTAAAAATAGCGCCTGAAGTGAAGCTGGGTTCAAGGGAGATAGTCCTCCTCACCCAGACTTCGTATCAGCGTTTCAGTCTGGTACAGCCCAAGCGTGTCTGGAAGATGAAAGTGATTTTTAAATTTAATTTCTTTCAGTGAAGTATGGTGATTGACGAGAGAGAGGTTGTATCATTTACTGAAGCTCTTGATCATTCTGCGTCTTTGCTCTGGACCAAGTCTGTCTGGAATGGAAAATTGATTTTTATAACGGTAGCCCCAAAAAGTCCCGAATCCCATACGCAGGCAGACGGAATACCATGAGTCGGAATACCAATGACAGGAATTTTACTCAATTTCACAATCAAATATTCGCTGGTAATGTCGCAAAAATTCCAATGGAATTGGAAGTTACCTACCCAAGCAACAGTTTTTCTTTCGAGCAGTGGCAAAAGGGCGTGTGTGCAAAGAAATGCGACTGACTTCAATTAACCCTAAAATGCATGGCGTACCACATGTGGCACATTCAGGTTTTGCCTTCTTCATCAAGGCATGGATGAATGTTAAGTATCTGTCTGCATAGGGTCGCAAGTGGATCATTCATTGAATCGAAGTAATAGGTAGAGGAGTGCTTGGTGCCGGTAGTGGTTTTTTTTGCGAGGGAATTGTGAGGAGGCAAATGGAGATCTTATGCACGTTTAAGATATTGTGCTTCCTCTAATAGCCTGTTCTTCTGATTGGATAGTGTGTGGAAATTGGGAATTGCTTTAAGTAAGTGCCTACTATTTATTTAAAGCTTTAGTCTACTTCAGTGTATTTCCATGTTCTGATTCCTGCATGAAATATGCATGTGACAAATCTGGCACATCATGTATTCAGGCTCATCCTTATGACGGATGCGACGCGTCGCCCTGTGTTGCCTCAGTTCAGATATATTCAAATGTCAACATGTGAGAAGCCATTTTTATTCGTGAATTTTATTGGAATCATGGATGAGGGCGCCATCAGGTTTACGTTGGAAGTACCAACAGACAGTGAGGATAATTTTGACTTCTCAGATGACCTTACTGAAACATGCGTTCCACAACGAGAAGCCAGCGAAATTGATTCAAACGAAAGAGAAATTACTCCATTTGTGAGTCAATCTTCGCTCGTAAACCATTTCGAACCAGTAGTGACGACATCTTGTGATCAACGAAGATGCACCTATGATCTCATAGAAATACGACCAAATTGTAGTTTTAACTCGGCATACTATATGCCTTTCATAGTTGGCATGGATTGCAATGCCCATATTTCCCTCCATTCATCTCTAAAATACAACAATCTGATTCTCACAAAAAATATTCTAAACCTGGTTTGTCAGCAGTGAAGAAACCTTGAACCCGGCATGTCAATACAGACAATGACAGGACAACACGCGCATGAGGTCCCAGACCGCCATCGCAATGTCTTGTGGAAGAAGGCAAACATGCCACCATCCACAAACAAATTTTCTGGCGTCAAGGCTCTGTCTCAGAATCTTCTGGATCTTGGAACACCCAGCACATTTTTAAAGCTCTTTCACGCTAAGTGAATCGTTTCAGTGGAAAATTACATTTGTGTAATACCTAATGGAGTGGGAAACCTTCCCCCCCTTCATCTCTATGTTGTGATTAAATACGAGGGGCAATCAATATGTTCCAGACACACCTTTGTATCAATAACTTTGAAATCCCTTACCTGAGGGAAATGTTAGCTATAGCATTTGAAAGCCCATTCTTTAATATCCGTTTGGTACTAATTATTAATTTTCTTTAACATATATTTATCGTAGTTATGACCTCTGGGAGTGACCCAAATAAAAGCCACTGGGAAAATGAGAAATTTTCTGACCATGAGAGTCGCGCCTAAATCAAAGTACGATTTCTGCTGAATGTCAAGGACATTTATGAAGACCAAATAAAAGTCATAGGTCACGGCTATTTTCATAACGTCTTCATGAATATCCAGTTCAGTAGTGATCGTACAGTCTATTCAGCAGCAAAATACACAATTGGTTAAAGATAACATATTTCATGGCGGTGGCGGCGGTGAAAAGCAAGTAGTCAAAGAGATATGTGTATATTTGTCCTCTGGTAGGTCATCGGGGGGCTAAAGGTTTGACACACTTCAGTGTTGTCAGAAAAAACACAGCACCTTTCAGTCAGCTGAGAGAGATCCATAGGGATCCCGCTTCACCTGAGTGGACAGAAAAAAGTATGCAATTCTCATTTTCAAGGAAAATCTCTCCATTAACCATGTCTTAGGTGAGGAGTATGACTAATATTTAATAACCAAGGTTTGACACGACCCTTGACGTGTCACATTGAAGCCATTGAACTCGAATAGAATATACTTGACTCAAGGTAAACAAAATTGCACGTTTTCCCAGTGGTTTTTACTCACTCTCAGAGGTCATATCTACGATAAATATACGTTTAAGAAATTAATAATTACTCCCGTCGTGTTAATTAATTTATAATCATGTATTAAAAAGCTACAGAGATGTTTGATGGGTTCTCTATTCTGGTGAACGACTGCTAGCAGACGCTATTTCCCTTGCTTGCTTGACTTCCTTATTGTGTTGTCATCGACAATAGGTCATACCTCCTCTTTAAGCTTTTAGTTCATCAGGTGATATAAAAGGAGTTTTGCGTCCAGCATAAACTGGGCCCTTCAAATCGTACCATATGCTCAGTCGACAGATCTGAATTCTGGAGAATTGGGCGATCTCTGATTTCCTTGGATAAAGTTATAATTGCTATTTTTCGAATACTCATGAACACGTTTGGCTGAATGTGGAGGAGCATGAATGAGGAGGACCCGCATGAATATGGAAAATGTTTCTTTTTTATGGATTTACAGCAATTGAAGGTAAATTGTAATAGAGCTATGTAGAGTTCCGTGAGAACAATCGTCTCTCTCAATTTAGACAGCTTTATCCAAGGCAGACTTCACTTTCAATTTTCAAATATTGGAAATTTGCTATCCATAAGTTATGGTATTCCGTTTGCAGGCTTGTAAATTTCGGGTCTTTATTTCGCAATATACAGGTAATGGCTTCAGGTTTAAGGAGGATGTACAACAAGACGCCCTTTTTCTTACCCAGACTTCGAATCAGCACTTCAGTCTGGTTTGGCTGAAGTTTGTCTGTAAGAGGAAAAGTCATATTATAATTTCTTTAGGTTGACAGTGACGATAACAGACATCGTTTTCATTACCAAAGATCTTGATAACTTTGCGCTTCTGCTCTGGTCCAAGAGTGTCTGGAATGGGAAAACATTATTATGATACAACTGCTTTTGGTTGCCCATTGTGATTGGCGTGAAACGTCCTCTTGAAACTCTAGAATAGGTTTCTTTATGCAATGAATCAAATATTTATTATTTTCCAATAGGTCATGCAATGCGATTTTTTGTTATAGTAGCTGGGAGTACTCGCGCATATACCAGTTGTGTTTTTAGATTTTCAATCGATATGGCTTGTTTTCCTTGATTGCATTTTCACCCGACAAGCTGTTTCTTATACTTCTGAAAAATTTAAGTCCTAGGCAGATTGGAATTGTGCATGCGGTATGTACAGGGTGGCTCAAAAAAACCCCAAACTATTGACTTCAACATGTATATCAGACTGTAGGGACTTGATTTGAATTGGCTTTTAGGCACACATTTAACAACTCTTTCCCTGCATATATAAAATTACTCAGGATATTACTATTTTTTTTCATCACAGAAAAAATGGCCGCCTCCTTTCGGAAAACTGCTGCAACAGTCCCCACCTGCCGTTTGAGTTGGAACACCTGCAGCTGTTGTCAATAAGAGCGCATTTTATTTTCTGTATCAGTGTTTTAAGATGTGTTTCTACCTTTTCCCACTTTTTTATCAAAGCAAAACAGTACCTAGCTCCTTGCATGGAGCTCGGTACTTCATTGTTTTCTTTGAAACCTTTCTGAGTTTAAATGGGATGGGAAACCAAAATAATAATAGACGAATTTCCTGGTAAAACAAACTGGTCTTGCGGGCATCATTCGGATTCCGTTCTCTTTGATTTGAGCAGCCTCTTTGATCCGCCTACGTATCATTGAAACGAAGGAAGTATTGATAGTATTAATATTCCTCGCAATACCTATTGGACGTTGTGATGCTCTTTCTGCCTCTTCGTCTTGCCAAAAGGAGAGGACACGTTGGCACAACAGAGTGGGCGTAAGGGAAAAGAGACATCATGCATCACTTCTCACCTGTAAAGAGGGGAGGTAATTCTGCCAGCACCCTGTCGAATGCCCGTAAAATGGCAGCCGTGTGCTTCCCCCACGTCACCTTGAACTTCCCTCGGAATAAGATTCTGATAAATGAGGGTGGTAACTGCTCCTCGTCCACATCGGGCAGTTTCTCCTTCGCTATCCACACGTCTCCGGTTCCTATGTGAAAGACGGGAGAAGGTGGACGAAATCGATCGAAAGTGAGTGGCAATTGAGATCAGAAAAGATGCACACTTTCTTAAGGTGTATATGCAAACGGTGTTTGCACATGAAAAAGCGTGCGTTATTTGACGAAAAACCGAATGTAAATATACATGAAATAATACTAATAAATAGGATCAGACTGCACAAAACGAAAACCAACATTTTTCCACATGAAAGTGATATTTAGGGTACAACGGACGTCCAATTAGAGGTTATTTTGTGCTAAATTTTGCTGCTCTATATGGTTTTCTGATAATGCCTGTGAACATTCTTTGGAGGAACGTGTTGCCATCGTTAATTTATTCTCTATCTGTGAAGGAAATCTTCCTTCCCTTTCCGAAGTGAGGCGTCGTTTTGCCCTTATGACAGGAACATCGGTCGAGTCGGGCTAATAGAGTAGCCTCCCAGGTCTTGGACCCGACCCTACCTCGACTTCTGGATGTGAGGTTTCATTTAAAGACTAGACCAGGTATACTCGCGTATGCCGAAAATTCGTCCATGATCAATGAACTGAGGAAAGCATATTTGAGGAGATCGGAAAAGGTTGCCTTTCTGTGACACTTCGCGTGATCAAGCTTGGTTGTACTCAATATCATGGCCAGTAATTGCAGTCATTCTTACACCAAATAAATGTATGGTTTTCTTTTCAACATTGCATATTTGTTAATTAGTGAACGCTCTTTCCTAGGCAAAAAATCGTTTGCAATTTGATGCATTCCTTGCCTAGTTATAGCAGTTCTAAATCGTTCCCTGACTTTTGACTCACCCTGTATGTCCATGTATGATATAACCGTATTTTATAGAATTAGTGTTGTTCAAGGACCTAAATGCCTCCATTCGGAGGAAGTTAAAAAGACTTGAAACGTTAATGCAGCACAATGAAGAATAACATTCTGAATATTCGGGTGAGAGATATCAGGTCCCGGAAAAGGTTCTTTCGTTTTTTGAGTCTTAACTTGTAGCGTGCATAACATTTTTTATAGAGACCTTTTTTTATTAACTTTAGTCAGTGAAATAATTACCTTCACAATCGACAACTATTTCCCATCGGGTAACCAAGTCATAGATGCCGCGTCTGTAGAAAGCCCGGTCATTCGACTGGAAAAACACATTCAACTTTTTTCGATTTAATATCGGGTTTTGAAATTCATGTTCCGAATGTGGCTGTCACGAGAACGGAAAAGGTGGTAATCCGTCGGATAAATATCTGGAGAATATGGTGGGTGGGGTAAAACTTCCCGCCTGAGGCTCTGCAGCTTTTCACGGGTAGCTTTCGTGGTATGTGGTCGAGCATTGTCATGAGGCAACGCAATGCCCTTGCGATTAACAAGAGGGTGTTACTTCTGGAGAAGTTGTTATTGAATCCGCTGGAGTTGTGATAAGTAGACGACTGCCGTGATCGTTTCACCAAGTTCCAGAAGTTCATAATGCACAATACAGGACGCAGTCTACCAAACAGAGAGCAACATCTTATTTGAGTGAAGCCCTAGCATGGGCGTGTGACGTGTAGCCTCTCCTGGTGACGAGCACTGGTATGAGCAAGTTTTGCTGTACAGGTTCCATTTCTCGTCGCAGGTTCATCATTCGTTTGAGGAATCGCTTTGAGAAATTCGTTGTTGTTGCGAGAGATCAATGAAGAGCATATCGCGAGCCGCAACATTTTGTTGGTCTCGGATAGTTTTTACATAATATAAGAGCTGCGGTTTTAAGCTATGCAGAAGTGGTAGTCACGTGTCGCGATGTCGCGTCTCTTCCCCACAGGAAAATATTGACTTGATCTTGGTCGAGCGTTCCTAGCGTGAGGACGTGTTGGAGGATACTCTCGAGGTTCTGTCAGCTAAGTCGTGAGTTTGTTGTTACCTGGCTACTTTGTAGCAGTATTCATAAGTTTTCTGATAGCTACCTCCAATTTCACATTAGAGCAATATCAATCAGCTTAATTACTTTATGTATTAGCACATTACTCGTAGTATTCCTTTTACTACAAGGACTAGGACAGTACAGTCTTATCGGGTTACAACTAGTGTGAAGTACTGCAAAGTATAAGTCTAAAGCAGTAGAAGTCTCAATAGGGATCAATAACATTAAGTAAGATGCCTAGGATGTGTAGATGCGTTCGTTGCGGGGATTGGGTAGGTGGGACTAGTGAACGAGAGGTATGCCAGGTATGCAGAGTTTGTAGCTTGGAGGAGCGACTAGGGGAGCTATCGGGAAGGATCATTAGCGTGGAGGAGGAGATAAGAGGGATCAGGAAGGAGGTGGGCGAGGTACAGAGGGATGATTTAGTCAGGAGTCATATCAGGAGTCAGTTAGTGATATCAAGAGGCGATTTCGCCCATTTCGATATCACGTGTCGAGGTCGAGCGTTCCTTAATTTTAGGGTAGGCCTTACCCTCTTAAAGATAAATATTTTTGTATTTTTTTTTTTTTACTATCCTAGTTACTTACTGTCTAGTACCTACGTCAACATTGCCCCCCACCTTTTTGCCTGTCCATGAAAGCATCTAGTTTCTTCTTAAAGATAGTCACAGAAGGGGCAGCCACTACTTCGTCATCTAACGCATTCCACGCGTTCACCACTCTGCAAGTA